CCCCCCCCCTCCTGCCCCTTGCACTGGGAAACCACTTCCAGCTGAATTTCTTCACCTTGCACAGAGGAATTGCTGTCTGAAAATCAGCTTTGGCTCCCTTTCCACCACACCCCAGAGCCCAGCAAGGTGTGATGGTTGCTGGGTGATTTGCTGATGCAAGATTCCCCCACACAACCATGTCACTGCCAGCAGATGTGTCACCTCTGCAGGGGAGGGGAAAAATAAAAACGGGTCCCCAGCTGAAAGCCAAAGCTTCACCTCCTCCAGGACCATTTTTTTCCCTGGCTTGCTCCTGGCAGGGATGATGCCACATGGAGCTGTGGCACGTGGCTCTGGTGCCACCAGCCAGTGCTCAGCCCTGCCCAGGGACAAACCAGAGCCCTCAGCCACCAGCCCAGGGGACCTTTGGGGATGGGTTCCTCCCACACACCAGGTTTGCAATGGGAGGTGCAGGGCACCCCCCGGGGCTGCAGGAACTGCTCACTTTGGGGAGGGTTTTTCCCTGCTTTTGTATGTTGAATCAGAAGTTGGGATGGCTGGTTTCACCTCACTGCTCATTTCCTTGGAGTCAGGGCTGATCACCTGGTTGGAGGCTGTCCCAACACTGTCTAAAAGCAAACAGGCAGCCTCCACAGGCAGAACTTGCTCTGAATTCACTGCAAGGAAAATGCAACCTAATTTTTTTTCCCCTGCCTCACAATCAAGTTTCAGAGCCAGCATCATGGGAAGGGCCTCACACCAAGGCAGGGTCAGGCTGTTCTCTTAGCATGGCAGGTTGGAAGGGACCTCAAGGAGCATCTGGTCCAACCTTTCTAGGAAGGACCATGGTCAGGTCCCTCAGGTGAAGACTGGCCTGGCCTTAGCTCATCCACAGGAGGTGAGCAGGGCTCAGCACTGCCATGGTTATACCTTGCTGGGGGTCTGGGAGGATGTTAAGGAAGATTGCTGAGTCTGCAGAAACTCTACTAAACCTTAAATTAAATGCCCATGCTGCAGAGAGTTTAGGGAAGCACATTTCTCTTGTGGGGCACCATGAAGGAGAAGCTACTGAGAAGAACCATGAAAACCAGTACTGGCTGTGGGCACCAGATGGATCCACAGCAGAGGGCAGGAAAAAGCAAGTGAATCCCAGGCTTCCCAGCTTTCCTTTCCCCAATTCCTGTGCACAGCCCCAGGGCTGTAGGGCTGCTGCTGGATCAGGCTGGGATGCCTGGCCCTGGAGGGATGGTCCTGACCACTCTCCTGAGTCCTTCCCATGCTTGGAACTTGCTCCCTCCTCAGCCCATGCAGCTGCACTCCCAAAGGCTCAATATATTTAGATGCTGCTGCAGTTCCACATGCTTGAAATTAAAGAAAAGCTCTGCAAAGCATTTGGTGGTTTGGTTTTTTTTCCTGCTGCTTCTTCCTTCCCAGTTCTTTTCTCTACCACAACATTTGCTCTTGGGGAAACTATAAGGACAATAAATAAAGTCTCTGCACCAGATAAGACAATTCCTTTCAAAGCCTGGGTCTATTTTAACCAGAAGAGCTCTTCTTGACCAAATAGGCCTTATTTATATGACTTGTGAGACAGGGTGACTTTCACATTTCACTCTATTTTAAAATCAAATCTTAAAGTATGCTGGGAAAAAAAGTGAGCTAAGCCCTCAGGCTGCAGCTGTGGAGGGAGCAGGGAGCTGGCAGAGGTGCCCGTGGCCACAGCACCCACCCAAGGCAGGCAGAGCTCCTGCCCTGCCCCTGCCTTCCCTCACCTGCCCCCAAGGCAGGAGCTCAGCACCCACCCCCTTTCCTAAGACTTGCCAGCCCCTCCAGCCCCAGGGGAACACTGCCCCCCCCTTAACATGGGGCTGGAGGGGCCCTGGCAGAGCTGAGCATCCATCCCCAGGGGGTTTCTGTGTGTCCCCAGGGGCTCCAGGCTCTGAGACCCCAGCCTTGCACTGCAGGATGGTGCTTGCAGTGGGAAAACCAGCCTCCACCTCCTCCAGTGTTCAGGCTTTTTTTCTGCATAAATACACATACTTTTAAGCATCCTCCCCATCAGCAGCTCAGCTGGCACCAGCTGTGGGAGCTGCAGCCTCACTGCAGGGCCAGCACAACCCCCTGCAGGGCCTGGACATGCCCTTCTGATCCAATATTGATGGGATAAAACATTGATAAGAAAGTCAAACTGAACTCTGCCCCAGCCCAGGCAGATTTCTCATCCCTGGAGCCCTTGGGGACATTGGCAGACAGGGCAGCTGGGGTCTGTCCCTTGGGGGAGCAGGATTTTACACCAAAAAGCCCCGTGCAGTTGCACAGGGTGGGAGGCCCAGCCTCACAGGGTGGGCACGTGCTGGGGCTGGTGCCCAGGGCAGGATCCCTGCCTGGAGCCCCCCAAGAACCCCCTTTGTTACCAACACACCCCAGGGCAGTGCAGGGCTGCACAGGGGACTCACCCAGGCCCAGGCATGAGACTCTCAGTCCAGATTTTCCAAGGTTTCTAGAAGGAAAAGGAAACCATTAGAAGGTATTTGCAAGTCCTCAAAGAACAGACAAACAACCCAGTGAGAAACCAGCAGCTGGAGAACATTTTGTCCAAGCCATTGGTTCTCCAAGAGGGACAGAGCCTCTCTCCTGGGGTGCTGAAGGGCAGATGAGCTGCAGCTTCCTCTGCCCCACCAGGCTGCAGGAGAAGCTCCAAGCACTCACAGGGCTGGGGATAAACCCAGATACACTCAGATGTGTCTCACACCTGATGTTGCTTGGGGTCCATGAATCAGGCACCCCCATCCCCTCCACTCCCATCCTCCTTTGGATTCGAGTAACTCAACATTATTTGCTTTGTTCAGTTGCACATTTCTTCCATTCCCCCTCCCACTTGCTCCAACACCCTCATCCATCACAGCAGCCCCCTGGGCAGTTACCACCAGGACTCCCAAACTCATGGATTCCCCTTGGATAAACCCTCCCACGATTTCCCTGCCTCAGGAGACAGTGGCTTCATCCCCATCACCAGCAGCTCCTCAGCATCAGTGAGATAAAGTTCTCACCCTCCTCCCCACCTTCCAGAGCCAGGCTGGAGACAAGATAATTAGCCCTGAGGCCATGAAATGTGCCACCCATTAAAGCCCTACCCTAACATAAACCTACCCCTGCACAACAAAATACCTTTCTAATTACACCCTCCTGCTTTAGCCTTGCTGGCACAGCTGGATCTGTGCAGTGTTTTTACCAGATCAAGGTATAATTTGGAGACCATCTCCCTACCTTCTGCTGCAGAGCACTGCTAGCCACCACTGCACTTTTTGCTGCTCCTCATGAATTATTTAAGGCCAAATAAAAGATATTTGTAGAAAAGTCCTGCTCACTCCCAGTGAGAAGAGTCAGACAAACCACCCAGCACTAGCACAGGTCATGTCCTGCTTTTCCAGCTCTTTTGCCTTTTACACGCTTGATGTTGTGGCTGTTTGAGGTCTGTGCTCATAGGGCACAATTCCCTGGGTGGGAGAGAAGCCAAAGGTATCCCTGAGGAGCCAACCTGGCCTCAGGCAGCCCCCCCTCAGGCCCCAGGACGCCAGTGCTGTACCCAGCATGTACTGCTGCTGACAGGAAATTTAAATTCTGGGAGAAGCAGGGATTTGTCCTTGAGTAGCTGTTTGAAATGCTGCAGCTGCATTTCCAGCACCGTGACCCCTCGGGCTCCCAGCACTGCTGGGGCAGCCACTGACCTGATTTTTCTTTTTCCTTTTGTATTTTTTTTCCCTTTTATTTTTTTTAAATTTTTTTTTTGCCTGGAAGCAGAGCTGGACCCCTGCACAACAAAACCCACCCACAGCACAGAGGTGCCCATCCTGCCCTGCTCACAGCACAAAGCCTCTGGAAGTGAGAAGGCAAATCCCCTGCAGCTGCCTGCCTGCTCCTGGCAGGGCTGCCACCCTCCTGCCAGGAAAGAGGAGCTCAGGCTCCCAGGATTGGGGTTCCCATGTTCCTTCTGGAGACACCCCACCCACAGCACAATGCTCTTCAGAGCTCAAGCATGTTGCCAAACAGTTGAGGCTTCTTTTGTGAAAGAGGTTTGGGTTTTCCAGTCCTGCTGCTCACCAAGCTGTGCTTTGCCTTGCAAAGCCTGACCCTGGCTGTGAGGGCTTGGCTGGACCATGGGGCTGTACCCCTCTGCAGGGGCAGGAACATGCACATATATACTCCTTTTATATATATATATATGTGTGCATATACATATAAGCCTTTTTTATATGCATGCATATACACACCCTTTAGACATACCCCTTGATATATATACATACACACATAATTTATATATACACCCCAGCTCTTTGCAGAGACTGGTCCACCAAGGAATCTGGACAGAAGTCTTGTGTTTGCTGTTCCAAAGCTGTCTCTGCCATTTACTTAGTGCACACCTGACCTAGGTAGGCACTTGGAAAATTCTCTGTCTCTAGTCAAAACCTGACATGGAAAACACCAAATCTGTGCAGTGCAAGATCCCTCCTGCAAAGTGTGCCCAGGAGCAGCCCAGGGGTTGCCAGAGCCCAGGGTCCAGCCTGGAGAGCATTGCAATGCCACAGCCCCCAGCCACCCCCAGAAACAGCAATGGTGCTTGACACCTGGTTCTCCTCTACCCACCTGCAAAAAAGCATTAACCAACAAAATCCCAAGCAAAAATGTGTGCATTTACATCTGCTTTTCAGGTTCCAGGTGCATGTGAATGTGTAGGTACCTCACACACACACACACACACACACACACACACTCAGGAGCTGCAAAATTGCCACATAAAACCAATGCCTGGTTTCTAAGTAACCAGACAACAGAAGCCCTTTGTGCTTCCATTGCACTAAATCCCGACTCTGAGCCAATGAACCAGCTCAGCCCCCGGAGCTCAACCTGCAGCAGCCCATGAGAAGTGGGATAGCAACCAGGACAGCACAAGGAGCAACCCCAACCGTGCCCAACGTGCCCAGTCAGCACCAGCTGCACCAGCCAAGCAGGGGCTGAGCCCCCTCCCCAGGCAAAGCTGCTGGGGGGTCAGTGCCCCGGGTGCCAGGGCAGAGCATTGCCCAGTGGCTGCAGATCCCTTCCACAGGGATACAACCCTGCACAGGGAGCAGGGGCTCCAGAGGGATGGCATGGGATGAGGGGGAGAGGGGGATCAGGCAGGAAAGGGGAGGGTCTGGCATTACCTTCCTGAACAGTCACAGACCGTGGTTTCCCTGGGCCAGTGGTGGAAGCTTTCAGCAGTATTTTAAAGGCCAGAAATTATCTTTTTATGCAACAAAATATGTCTGAATGGGCTCCCCCATGACAGGCACAAGCAGCAATACCCCACACCCCCAGCACAGCAGCCAGTACCAAGCTCTTAAAGTCCTGCCTGGGCCCCTCCAGCCCAGGGCAGGCAGCCCAGCCACCCCCCAGGTACCCACACTGCTCCCAGGGTTTGTGCTGACACTAGTTACCACTACACCAGGAGGGGAAAAACAGCTCTTTCCAGACTGGAAGCTGGTGCTGCTGAGGAACGAAGTAGCCACTAAAGAGGCCATCGCAGGAACCTCAAGTCTCTCAGGATCACTTTGCCTAACCTAGAAGCAGCTGATTAATCAGCTCTCTTACACAAGTTTTTTCCATTAGCACAGCTATCTTGCTTCTCCTCTCCCTGCTGTTCAGCTTCCCTTGCACTTTGCAGGACTGGAGCAGTTGCATCACACCCTGCAAAGACACACAAGGGGCTGGATGGGCTGCCTGGGCCACCCACAGCCCCCAGGACCCTGTCCTCAAACCCTCTGCACTGCTTCTAGCTGCCCATCTGAAACCAGCTGCACTTTCTTTACTCCAAGCTCACCACCAGCAAGACCCAATTGTATTCAACATCTCCCCCCTGGATTCTTTCCCAGCCTGTAGGCAAGGGCTGCCCAAAGCCAGGGCAGGCAAACCTGGCCCCGGGAGAAACTTCCCAAGGGAATGGGGCAGGAAGAGGTGCATAGAAGCAGGGGCAGCTCTGCTGCATGAAGGATGTGGGGATTTGGTGCCCATGGCAGGAGCTGTGCAGACCTCACTGACAGCACCCAGGTCACCAAAACCTGTAACCAAGGACATTTATAGCCATACATCACACTGAAGGCCACGAGGCACTAACTGATTTTTGGAAGGGATGCACCACACTCTTCCTGCTCTTTGCAGCTCTAAGAAAGGCATATTTCAATAAAGATTGTTAGAAATGAAATGTAGTGATGTTTTTGCATCCTAGTGTTAAAAGCATAGGGTTGGGTTTAGTGTTGTTTGGTTTGGTTTAGTGTTGGTTTTTTGCATCTTAGTATTAGAAGCATATTGTGGGGTTTGTTGGTTTTTTTTATATACCCTAGTGTTAGGAATATAATAGTTTAAGAGAGAAGTGAGATATCTGCACATTCCAATGACACCTGGGATGGTTTACAGTCCAAGAAACTGAGGGACTTAATTGGGCTCCATCTGGGGGATCCAAACATGGAGCAGGATTGATGGCCAAGATCAGACCCAACAAAGCCACTTCTGTCTTGCTCTCAGGGCAGGATGACACCAGTAGATTTGTTAATTGGGAAGACAGCCCAGGGGGCAAGAAAGGTCAAAATTTTACCTTAAAAGGTAAGAAGTGACCTGCTAGAATGGGAGGTGTAAACAGGGGCAGGGAACTTATAGGATAATTTGAAGTGGTGGATGGGCTGTGAGCCCTGGAGTGCCCAGCCAGTGGGGAAACAGGGGAGGGAAATTTGTGTCGGGAATAGGGAATATAAACTGTTATTCACCTTACTATGGGTGTGCCTGCTTGTTTAGGTCACCCATTCTTGCAAGAATGTAAACAAACCGTGCTTGGTTGAAGGATGTGGGTGGGCCTGTTCATTGGCGCGACAAACGTTTCTCACAAGATATAGTTTTGAAATTATAAAATAAGTCTTTCCAGTTTCCTTCTCCTGAACTAGGGCAGGAGAGGTACCAGGGCAGTGTGACCCTGTCCCAGGGCCAAGCAGGGCAGGGGACAGCAAGACATGGAGACACAGGGCACCTGAAAGCCTGGCCAAGCACGCTGGTTTAAGACACCTCCCCTTCCCTGAGGTAAACCAAAGGTGGTATCCCCTGGCCCAGCCAGGAGCTGGGCTGACAGCCCTTCACAGACCACTGGTCTGAGCCCAGGAGCAGGGCTGAAAACCCCTGGCTGGGCTGCACATGCCCCTGCCAGCCCTCAGCAAAGAGCAGAGCCTTCGGGCAGCCACTGTCGGGCACCAGGACTCAAGGGCACCAGCACTCCCGGGTTTTTTCCTGTGACTAATTCCCATCTCCCTTGTTCCCAGAGAACGCAGCACTCCTCGGCAGCAGCTCCAGCCCCAGCTGGGAGCCAGGCAGGGCTCCCTGCATTCAATTACAACCAATTTCTAGCAGAAAAACCTGGTGTTCCCTGTGCTGCTGCCCCAAGTCACTCCCAGGACACCAGAAGGCAGCCAGTTATAATCC